AACCCAAATCAATTTTTAAAATTTTATTTTCATTTATTTTTAGTTTTTAAAGTTTATTTTAATTCTATGTGTATGAGTGTATTACCTGCATGTAAGTGTACTATGTCTCGATGCAATGCCCACGGAGGCCAGAAGAGGGCACTGGATCCCCTGGAACTGGAGTTACAAACAGTTGTTAGTTACTATGTGGGTGCTGGGAACTGAACCAGGGTCCTCTACAAGAACAACCAATGCTTTTAACCTCTGAATGATCTCTCCTATTTATTTTTATTTTATATATTTTGCCTGCATGTATTTACATACACCTATGCATACAATGCCCATGAAGGCCAGAAGAGGGTGTCAAATCCCCAGGAACTGGAGTTACAAATTGTTAGCTGCCATGTGGGTGCTGGGAACTGAACCAGGGTCCTCTTTAAGAACAGCCAGTGGTCTTAACTGCTAAGTCATCTCTCCAGCCCCTTTTTTTGTTGTGGTTGTTGTTTAGACAGCGTATCACTATGTAGCACTGGCTGGCCTGGAACTCTCTATACAGACCAGGCTGACCTTGACATCACAGAGATCCACCTGCCTCTGCTTGGGATTAAAGGTATGTGCCATTGCTTTGTTTTGTCTTTGAGACAGCTGATTGGATGATTCTCTGGGTGGCCTAGAATTCACTACTATGTACTACAGGCTGACCTCAAGCCTCTTATTCTTCTGTTCAGCCTTCTGAATGCTGGGATTACAAATAGAAGCCATCAAACTGGGCTACTCCTACCTAAAGTCACTGTCTTTTTGTTACCCTGCTGTCAGATTAAGCCCTCCTACCTAGATCTCTGCCTTAACTGTCTCCTGCCTCATCTTTATCCTTTCTTCTTAGAGTGAATGCCCTCCTCATCCTCCTCTTATTTCTTCTGCTCCTCCCTCTTATCTCCCTTCCTCCCTCTTTCTTATCTCCTTTCCCCTCTTTCTCCTCCTTTTCCTCCTCCTCCTAGTCCTCCTCTTTCTTCTCCTCCTCCCTCCCCTTCTCCTTCCCCCTTCCTCCTCCCCCTCCCCTCACTCATCCCCCTCCTGGCCTAGAACTTGCTATGTAGCTTAGTCTGGCCTTGTGATACTCTAGCTTTAGTCTCTTAAGTGCTGGGATTACACTTGGTGTCTTTGCCTTTCTCTTCAGATTGTAATGCCATACAATGTCTATTCATCCTTCAAAACAAGGCTTCCCTCTTCTGAGGAGCCTTCTTGGCCTTTCTTCCAGATGGCCAAATGTCCTTACATGCTGTCTATTATACTTTTTTTCTCTGTAATTCAACTTCAGGAGCAGAAGGTCATCTTACTCTTTGTACCCAGTCTAGAGCAAGACATTCAATATTTGTTGGATGGATGAGATGAGGGTCTAGTGCTTATGGCTGACTGTGTAGTCTGGGGGGTGGGTAATCATTTATAACCAGAAAAGATTGATGGAAGGAGAGAAGGACTGATCAGAAAGGTAAACAGAGACACAGGGATGCTGGAATATCACAAAGGGAGAAAGGCAGGACACAGGAAAAAGCAGGAAACGGTGCCAAGAGGCAAAAAGAGAGCAGGAGGGAGGCAGTGTGGCTTCAGGTGAACGCAGTGCTGTAGATGAGGGCAGGCTTGATGCTGGGGCCCTAGGTTCTATTCTGCCACCCAGACGTAGCTTATTCCTGCTCTCAATTTGGTGTTTCTCAGGTATTCTGGGTGGTTATTTTGTTTCACTTTATTTATGTATGTGTATTTGCCACATGTGTGCAGGTACCCTTAGAGGCTAGAAGCAGGTATGGGTTGCCCTGGAGCTGTAGTTATAGGCAATTGTGAGCCACCTGACATGGGTAGTGGGAATTGAACATGGGTCCTCTGGAAAAGCACCAAGTGCTTTTAACTGCTGAGCCCTCTCTCCAGCTCCAGGTATTTTAGGTGTTTAAATCCTGTAGAAAGTGAAATCAGAGAAACAAAGTCAGGACTAAATATAAGGTAATTTAGGGTTAGAGAGATGGCTCAGCAGTTAGGAGCACTGACTATTCTTGCAGAAGACCCTGGTTCAGTTCCCAGCATCCACATGGCAGGTAACAGTCCTCTATAGCTTCAGTTCCAGGGGCTATGACACCCTCTTCCGTCTTCTATGAGCACTGCATGACACAGGTACACTTACATGTATGCAGGCCTAACACATACACATAAAAAATAAAAAATAAGGAGCTGGAGAGATGGCTCAGCAGTTAAGAACACTGACTGTTCTTACTAACAACTGTCCATAACTCTAGTTCCAGGGGATCCGACACCCTCTTCTGTCCTCTTCGGTCACTGCATAACACAGGTGCACTTACCTACATGCAGGCAATACATGCATACACATAAAATAAAAATAATAAAAATTTTAAAAAATGAATAAATAAATAAAATAATAAAAATAAATATAAGGTAGTTTAAAGAGTATGGAGAAGAGGCTAGTGAGTTGACTCAGAGAGTAGACAGGCACCTACATACAGGTCTGACTACCTGAGTTCAATTTCTGAGTCCCACATGGTGGCAGGAGAGAACAAGTGAGAATTGTCCTCTGATCTCAACCCTACATTTTGTGTGCACACACACACACATGCAAATAATAAATAAATAAATAAATAAATAAATAGTAAAATTTAAAAGAGTGTGGAGGCACATGCCTTTAATCACAGGATGCTGGAGGCAGAGACAGATATCTGAATTCAAGGACACCCGGGTCTACATAGCAAGCTCCAGGCCAGCTAGGGATAATGAGATAAACAAACATATGAAAAATTAAATAAATAAATGACTGTAGAGAGGGATTAGACATATAGCACAGTTGGCAGAGTATTTACTTAGCAAACAGGAGGCCCTAGGTTGGCTCCCCAGCACTACATAAACTGGGCGAGGTGACACAGGCCAGTAATCCCAGCACTTCCTAGTACAGAGAAAAGGACTAGAAATTCAAGGTCATCTTTGACTACAGAGCCAGTAGAAAGCCAACTGGGCTACATGAGAGATTGTCTCCTGAAAAAAAAATAAAGCATATGGAGAAATAGATGCCACATAAACGGAATAAGGAGGAGAGCTGGGAAGGAGAAAAACAATGTGGGAAGGTGGGATGACTGAATGATTGATAGAGGATTGAAAAGGAAAGAAAGAAACATAAAACAGGGAAACTGCATGGAGTTTTGTGTGTGTTGATTTTATTCTGAGAGTGTTGGCTGGTTTATCTTAGAACCAATTGTAGCCTTTCCCAATCTTTGCTCTTTATCTTGTGAACTAATCCCTACAGACTTTTGTTTTCTAAACCCCTGTATCTAGGTGAGGAGGCAAGAGACTGGACAGCAGGAGAAAGTTGGCTGTCCCCCCGACCCCTGCCTCCAGCTCCTGCTCCACAGGTTCACTTTGCTTCCAGCTTCCGGGGAGAAGCCCTCAGCCCTGCACTGTAGAAATGCTATCTTGTTGGCTCAACGCTTTCCTG